GAAATGGTTGATGTTCAATCGTTTCAAGAGGCAGCATATGATCAAGAGCCAATGATACTGAATGAGGAAGTCCAAGGTGCACTGAACAAGGCTCCAGGAATTGATGGAATAAAAATGACTTGTGGTTATTAGTCATTATACTGTGTTGTTGTTGTTAAGTGCCATCGAGTCGGTTCCGACCCATAGCGACCCTGTACAGGGTTTCCGAGGGTGTAAATCCTTACGGGAGTAGAAAGCCTCATCTTTCTCCCGCGGAGCGGCTGGTAGTTTCAAACCGCTGACCTTAAGGTTCGCAGCCCGATTCGTAACCACTACGCTACCAGAGCTACTGTAAATGAATGCTTTATGTATTTCATTTTATTGTTGCTGACGTACATACGCTGACAACTCAACAGTCCTCACAAGTACACTTCAGTGACAGTGACTGGATTGTTCAAGTTGTGAAGCGTTCTCAGCCTCTTTTCCCAACTGTTTCTGCCCCCCACCCCCCACACACACACCATTCAGTGTCCCCTCAGCTTCCTGTGTAAACTTTTGAGTTGCTGTTGTCAATTTGATCCCATGCAGATAAACATCAAAAGAACACAATTCTCAAGGCAGACATTCTTCACTACCTAAGCTAAACTAGTGCTCAGTTTTAAGAAGACTTTGGGGCATATTTTTGGCTCATGGTTTAAAGATGATCTCAGGACAGTAGCTTCATAGGCTTAGTAGAAGGCTTTCAATCATCTTTCTCAGTCCATGACAGATCAAAGACAAAAAGGCAGTAAGACCAGGATTTCTGCTTCTACCAGTGAATAAGTAATAGGGCTTTTCCTCCTTCTAAAATCAATTAGAAAAAGAGACAAAATATATGAAGTACTTTTTTTCAGAAAAGATGGCTTAATACTTCTGCTGAGTTGATGTGACAAAGGATGGACGTTAGAGAGGGCAAAGTGGCTGGAATTGGCAGAACATAATAATGGATATTCCACCCCTCTAAATAATTCTTCATTCAGTTATTGTACTTTTAAATCCTGGAATTTTCATTCACTTCCTTATTATAACTTCTACCTCTTTACTGCTAACTGTTTTTTATTTGATGATCCATTGCCATCATGTTTTCATACATTTAAGCATGATTTCCTTCAGTTCTTAAAATGAATCTATAGAGGTTCTCTGCTATTCATAAGGTTTTCGGTGACTAAATATTCAGAAATAGTTCGTCACTCCTTCTTCTTAGTCTGTCTTCATCTGGAAGCTCATCTAAAACGTGTCCACCATGGGGGACCCTGCTGGTATTTAAAATACCGGTGGCATATCTTTCAGAATCACAGAAACTCACAAGCCACCACAGTACGATAAACTGGCAGGTGTGTCAGGGATATCATTTCTGATGTCCGATGAATCTTGGCTGAAAGCAGAGAATATCAGAAAGATGCTTACCTGTGCTTTATTGACTACACAAAGGCTTTCGATTGTGTGGATCATGACAAGCTATGGACAACATTGCAAAGTATGAGTATTCCAGAACACTTAATTGTGCTCATGAGGAATCTGTACCTGGACCAAGAGCAGAACATGGGAACACTCAATGGTTTAAAATTAGGAAAGGTGTGCGACAGGGTTGTATTCTTTCACCATACTTATTCAACCTGTATGCTGAGCAAATAATCTGAGAAGGTGAGTTATATGAAGAAAAACGTGGCATCAGGATTGGAGGAAGACTCATTAACAACCTGTGATATGCAGATGATACAACCTTGCTTGCTGAAACTGAAGAAGACTTAAAATATTTACTGATGAAGATCAAAGAGCACACCTCTGGACTAAAATCCTCACCACTGGACTAACAAACAACATTCTTATCAACAGAGAAAAGATTGAAGTTGTCAAGGACTTCATTCTTCTTGGATCAACTATCAACACTCACAGAAGCAGCAGTCAAGAAATCAAACGACATATTGCATTAGGCAAATCTGCTGCACAAGAACTTTTTAAAGTGTTGAAGAGCAAAGATGTCAGCTTGAAGACTAAGGTGCACCTGACCCAAGCCATGGTATTTTCAATAACCTCATATGCATGCGAAAGCTGGACAGTGAATAAGGAAGACCGTAGAAGAATTGATGCTTTTGAGTTATGGTGTTGGAGGAGAATATTGAAAGTGCCATGGACTGCCAAAAGAACCAATAGATCCATTTCGGAAGAAGTACAGCCAGAGTGCTCCTTGGAGGCCACGATGGCCAAATTTCGTCTTTCATACTTCGGGCATATTGTCAGGAGGGACCAGTCACTGGAGAAGGATATCATGTTTGGTAAGGTGGAGGGTCAGAGGAAAAGAGGAAGACCCCCAGTGAGATGGATTGGCCAAGTGGCAGCATCAATGGTTCAAGTGTGCCAATGATAATGAGGTTGGCCCAGGATCGGGCAGTGTTTCGTTCTGCTGTGCATAAGGTCGGTACTAACAACAACAACAACAACAATAAAGGTTACATTGAACTCTGTCTGTAGAATCTGACAACTGGATTTTCTCACAGCAGCTTCTGTTGCCAAAAGAGAGGAATCGCCCAAAGGTTAAGCTTCCTTGCAGCATCTTTAATGGCAAGAAGATGGCCAACAGTCTATCATGGAAAGCCTGGACACCATTGCCAAGAAGTTGGACTTTGATGGAAAAGTGACCAGTCTATGAAACACCAGTCCTCGGTGCGGTCAGGCTGGGCATTGGGCACGCGACTGTCCAGCCTTCCCCAGGGAGTACCGTGAAAGTCACCAGAGTCTCTCGGCCACCAAAGAACCTGAGGACTAATTGAGTTCCTGTGAAAAGGCGGGAACCTAACATATTGCTGAGTATTCCTCATGGAGGAAACAGAAATCCACCCATTGCAGAAAACTGAATCACAGAAACTTTCTCTTTTTCTCTGAATATTTTGTCACCCCACTTTCCACTTTGAAGTCACTGTGGTTTCGATCCTGGTAATTCCAGTAGTTGGGAAATTCCTCCTCCTTGTTGAGTTTGGAAGGCGGGTTATGACTTCTCTGTCAAGGTAAGGGTTATAGAGCCTAGGGTACTCAGTCTCATGATGAAATGCAGCCCAAGTCTGGGTCACCTGTACTGTAGGATGCGTAACTAACCCCTCTACCAAGGGAACCCCAAACACACTGAGACCTGAGACCTGCCCCCTCCTCCACTCAGCAACCCCTCCCTTCAGTGAGAGAGGGAGCGCCTCACCTTTTTAAGTCTAAGCACCCTCAGTCTATTGGCAGCCAGTCCCATCATGCACAGTATTGTAGACAACCAACTAAAGATCTTCTCAGAGGTCAAGGAATTGGGTGCAGAGTCAGGACAGTCCCTGAGGGCTCTCCAAGAATCACATCAGCTAACAGGGTCATGCCCACCGCATAGCCCATGACTATCTACCAGCGAAGCAGTGGGGAGTTTGCACAAGCGCAAATACCACTTGCTGTACGTACATAAATGTAACCAAGGAAGTGAAGTTCAAGGTCCAACACATTCTAGAAAATAGTGAGTGGCTACAAGGACAAAAAGCAGTATTCTCTCAGACTCTCTGATCTCAAATTAAGGGCTACCTTCCCTCAATAATTTGGGTCAGTCCCTTCCTTGGGCCCCTGACCACCATATTTCTACTACTCATCTTCAGTCCTTGTATTCAAAACCTGGTAACTTTCTTTGTAACTAAGAGAATAGGAGCTTTCTGTAGACAAATGCTGGAACGCATGCCTCGCTGAATTTAACACAACTTTCTCTGAGCACTATGGATCCAGCAGGCCGAGTGTTCAGGCAGACATCCACTTAAAGGACAAGAAACCAAACCTCCTCCAACTAGCACACAAAAGCCTAGTCTAAGTAATTAGCCTGGGACCTAGTACTATCAAGAAAGAAGAGCTGGGAGTGGAACACATCCTTTGGACCCAGGGCCCTTGCGCTGTGATGCTCCCAGATCCAGGGGAAGACTGATGCCGAGACACATGTGGGTCTCCAAGGAATGCTGGGTCTATAGATGCTGAAAGGAAACAAGGACTTTTCTTCAGAATCGGTGCTCTGAGTTTGGACTTTTAGCACCTTAAACTGTGAGAATAAACTTCCGGTTCTTGGAGCCATCCACTTGTGGTAATCCTGTGATGTTGTTGTTGTTAAATGCTGTTGAGTCAGTTCCTACTCATAGTGACTCTAAATAGTGTTTCCAAGGAGCGGCTGGTGAATTTGAACTTCTGACCTGGTAGTTCAAACCAACCTTGCGATCCAGAGCTTTATCCCACAGCGCCACACCAGCAGAGAACTAACACACACCTACGAGTTAGTCTCCACTAAGTACTAAAAGATTGCTCCGTTGTTTTGAACAACGCCCTGATATATACTTGAAAAATTACCTATCAGAACAGAAAAGACTATGCCAATATATGTGATAAGGCTAAATTCCTGTTGATCTTGTGTTGCAGTCTACAGTGAAGTTTAAGAAGGGCAAGTAGGAAATCAAGTAGACATAAATTTCAACTCATTAACAGGAGGCGTTCACAGTCCATCACAAATAGTATGTTCTCTGTTAGCCTTCCTTACTCAAATGTATAGTCAAGATGAACAATAAAAGCGCTTGTTCTCCGTGTATATATGTCAGAGACGGACAGAATGGCCTCTAAGGGTCTGCCAATAAGTGTTCAAACGATAGTCTGTTAGCTAGAGGAATGCCTAATGCGACATTTACATGACTATTTAATAGTCTCTAAATTCTGGAGCCCTGTGTGACATTGTTGGATAAGCACTGGACTGTTAGCTGACAGGTTTGCGGTTCAAACTCACTGGCCACTGCTTGGAAGCTCTACACAGGATTGCTAGGAGTTTGAGCCAACTCATCGGCACTTTAACAACAACAATAAATTCTCTGTATGTGTCCCCCCGCCCTCCCAGCTGTTTCTGGGGGAAACACATATACTTGTAAAAACATTTAATCCAGTGAGAGTAACATTTTCCTTTTGGCTGATTTTTGAAACAATGAAGTCATTACCATGCTCCACCATTTGTTTTGGTAACCAGAAGAGAATGAAGGAGTGGACCAAGGCATTCATAAATTCAATCCAGAAGACCTACAAGAAAACAAACCATAAAGGTCAAGGAGGGACCACAATGCCTAGACCTTGGCTTACATCTAAGAGTATGTATGCATGCTTGCCACGTGCCACACACTTCTTCATGAAGGCTCAAAGCAAATCCACCTCTTCGACTTCGAAAAGACATGACTGTGAAGTTGGAGAAGAGTGTCATTTGGGAAGCAAAGTGTACTTAAAAAAAAAAAAAAATGCTCTTCATGAAGACAAAAACAAAAAAAATCATTTCTTTTTCAATTTTGAAAAGAGATGATTGAAGTTAGAGAATGATACTATTTGGAAAACAGAGTTATTAAATGTGTCATTGCTGTTGTGTGTTACTGAGCTGATGCCAACTTAAAGCAACCGGAAGGCAGAGCGGGGCTGCCCTATAGGGTTTCTAGGGCTTTAACCTTCGTGGAAGCAAACTGCCACATGCTTCTCTTAAGGAGAAGTTGGTGGGTTCGAATTGCCAACTTTTCAGTTAGCAGCTGAGCACTTCCCCACTGAGCCAGCATGGCCCCCTTTTCTGAAGTAAAAAAGTATAAAACTCAACTATGAAATGCAAATTATCTAGTGAAAAATAATCAAAAGACAAGTTTCAAAAATAACTATGAAAATGTTTAAAATATAAAACTTTAAATAGCATTTCATTTTACAATGTACTCTGGTCCTTTACGGCTGCACTCTGACTCTGACCAAAAGAATTCTTGAAAAAATTCGTTACTTTTTATGAACAGACCATTCACGATTTTCTCAAAGAAAGATCTCAATCGTATAAAAATCTCTGGCATCGGTCAAAGGCATCCATAGCGTAGGAGCCAACAGAATAACCATCCGACTTCTTCATTCTTTCATTTCTAAATACACTTGCTATTTCCAAGCTTGCTGGGAAGGCTGACAGGCAAAAAAAGGTCTAGAGCGAGAACCAAGCCCCAGCCACGACCGTCAATCCTGCCACGGTACGGGGCTTCCGAAGGCGTACATCTTTACAGGAGCACACGCCCTCATCTTTCTCCCGAGGAGCAGCTGGTGGGTTTGAACCTCCAAGGTTAGCGGTTAGAAGCCCAACACTTAACCCACTGCACCACCAGGGATCCTTTTGCTTCAGTTGCTGTAGTTGTTAATTGCTTCAATAGTGGAGAACTGTTACCCATAAGCTTAATGCTCCTTTTTTGCCTAACAGATCTTAAAAGTCAGGTCTCACAGGACCAAGCTGTTTTAAATTCACTTGTTTGTGTTCCAGAACTAAGCTGAAGAATATTTGTAGGAGTGTTTTACAAGCCACCACTCATCTGTCTGTTTGTCATACTGTGGCGGCTTGTGAGTTGCTGTGATTCTGAAAGCTATGCCACCGGTGTTTTAAATACCAGCAGGGTGACCCATGGTGGACAGGTTTCAGATGAGCTTCCAGTCTCAGACAAGCTAGTTAGAAGGAGAGGCAGACCACTTCTGAATAGTTAGCCAATGAAAATCTTACAAATAGTATCTGCCTGACCCAAGTCATGGTACTTTCATTCACCTCAAATGCATTCCTAGAATAAGAAAGACTAGAGAAGAACTGGTGCATTATGGGAATATAGTCAAAGTACCATGGACTGCTCGAAAAAGCAACAAATGTGTCTTGAAAGAAGTCGAGCCAGCAGCCTCCTTAGGAACCAGGATGGATGGTGAGGCTTTGTCTCTCATACTTTAGACATACTGTCCCTGGAGAAGGACATCGCACTTGGAAAAGTAGAGGGTCGATGCAAGAGGAAGACCCCCAACCATCATGTCAGTAATAGTGAGTTCAAACATATCAGCAACTGTGAGGTTGGCACAGGACGGGGCAGTGTTTCCTTCTGTTGTGCTGACGGTCACTACGAGCAGGGACCAACTCGAAGGCACCTAACTGCAACAACAATTTTACAAGGTAAAATCCACAATGTCAGGAATCTAATCAAGAACTATCAGGCACACATAAAAGCAGGAAAACACCTGAGTGCAGGTGAAAATCAGAAGGTCAATAAAGCTACTCAACCCAACCACGAATGGAGACATACGTTAGAATGAGCAGGCAAGATGTTCAAACAGCTGCCCACAGGCTCATAGTCACACATTCAAAAAGTGAAGTAGGGGTACAGGCAAATCTAGAGATAAAAATTACAACTGTGGGGTGGAAAAAATTAGACCGATTGGAATTCCTGCCAGATGAGATATTACAGAAGAAGAGAAACTGAATGCCCAGTTAAATGTTTCAGAAGTAACCCTGAAGAAAAAGCAATAAAATGATCTAAAATGAGACAGGAGAGAGAATTTAAAAATCATTACCAAAAACATAATTTCAGTGAGGCTCTAGACAACTTCACCCAAATTGATATGCACATAGGTGTAATTAGAAAGTGAGGCCAAACCAGGGGGATAAAAGCAAATAATGCCTGGAAATACTCCAAATTTGATGAAAATGATAAGCCAGGGGTCAGCAATCATTGTCTGCAAAGGGCCCGAGAGTATGTGGCTTAGTCTTTGGTGGTGGTGTGTGCGTGTGGGGCGGGGAGGGGGATAGGTCATATGACCTTGCTTCATCTATCCAATTCTGCTATTGTAGAAATAGATCATCCAGAGATAATCTGTAAATTAATAAACTCAATTCCTTGGATCAGATAAACTGTTGTCTGGGGTTTTTTTTTTATTTTTAATTATTCCTAAAGTATCAAAAAGGGAAGAGGCCAAGTTACAGTTAGAGTCAGTCTGAGATGAAAGACCTGAAATAAACTTTGGTTACCTTTGTGTTGAAAATTTTCTCTTCTTGAGAAATTGCGTAGAGTTGCGGGTACTTAAGCAAGCTCCTCTGAGTGCAACATTGTTCAAAGACGCCCAGAGTGAAAGGTGGCAATGAAGTGAAAATCTATATAGAAAACAAGAGCCTGTTAAAATGAGTGTTTAATGCATCCCCTGATTAATTAGACTGTACGAATATGAATTTCCTGGCTTTCAGCTCTGAGCTGGATGAAGGGAACAGAGCAATCTCAATGTTTGCAATTTCTGCTGAGTCTTAAGCTATTGTATCACACAGATTCAAACCAATCGACCAAACCAGGATGTAAAGTTTCTGATTGATCCAATCTTGGAATCAATGTGTTATAATATTTCACTTTGTTGTGCTGAATGAGTACAGCAGGACTACACTAAACATCCAGGTAGCTGCAGAAAAGGTGTAATATTGGCCCTTAAATCTGGCATCCTGGTCCTGTCTCCTTCCTACGAACAAGGCCTTTCAGAGCTAGTTCATGTGCCGGGACCTGGTTTGTAGTGTTGTTGTTTTTGTGAGCTGCCATAGGTCCACCTGTGTGATACAGAGTAGAACGACTCCACGGAGTTTTCTTGCTCTTAATCTTTACAGAAGCAATTTGCCAGGCTTTTCTTTCACGGAGCTGTGGGTGGATTCTAACCCTCAACTTTGGGGTTAGCAACCAGTCACAAACCACTTGTACCACCTAGGTCCTTGGCATGTAATAATAATTATGATTAAGTGCCTTAGTGTCGGTTTCGACTCACAATGACCCTGTATAGGGTTTCCAAGGAGCAGCTGGTAGGTTTGAACCACTGACCTTGTGATTAGCAGTCCAGTGCTTATCCTACAGTGCCATGCCAGGACTCCAATAGGCAGGCACTCAATAAATATTGTTGAGTTAAATGTTAGACCGAATGAAAAACAATTCTAATAATTCATCTAGATTGGTATCTTCAGAAACAAAATTGTGTTTCCCATTTATTTACTGGGAATATTGATTGGATAACCATTATGTCAGGAATCCTATTAGAAGACAAAGACATCAGCCTTCAGAGAGCTCTCTGTCATGTTGAGGGGCATCATATTGTAAGAAAAATGGGGAAAGGAGAGAAGGGGAGGGAAGGGGAGAGGAAATAAGGAAAAAGAGGGAAATCAAGAGAAGGAAGATGGGAATTCAAAGCTATACCCACTGAAATCTGTGAGGTGCTGTCACAAAAACTCCTCAGGGGAAGGACATTCAGACCTCGTCAGGAATGCTATACATCTGTGTATTTCTACACTACGTGGTCAGCAATCATTGTCTGCAAAGGGCCCGAGAGTATGTGGCTTAGTCCTTTCCAATGGACGCATAGCCAGGGATTTTTCATGTGGTTGTCTCAGGATTCCAGGAACAAGAATTCTTCAAGCCTTGTTTTGGCTGATGATGCTGAGCCTCTCCATCATCTCTTCCCATTGCTGTTGTTAAGTGCGGTCGAGACGGTTCTGACCCACAGAGACCCTGTATAGGGTTTCCGAGAAGCAGCTGATGAGCTTGAACCACTGGCATTGCGGATCAAACCAGCTTTGCAGTCCAGAGCATTAACCCACAGCGCCACACCAGGACTGCATCTCTTCCCATAGATGTAGTCAATTTGATTCCTGTGTATTCCATCTAGTGAGGTCCACGTGTATTGTCATTCATTGTTTATGTCGCTGAAGAAAGGCATCTGCAATGAATTCGTCTCTGGTCTTCTAAAATTCCATAATGCGATCTTCTGTATCATTTCTATCACTAAGGCCATATTTTCCAGCCACCAATCTTTCCTCTGTGCTTCCAACTTTTGCATTCCAATCATCAGAATGATCGGTGCATCTTGATTTCATGTTTGATTAATTTCAGACGGAAGAAGTTGGTAGAATTCTTCAATTTCTTCATCATTGACTTTAGTGGTTGGTGCATAAGTCTGAATAACAGTATTATTAACTGGGTTTCCTTGTTGTTGTTTTTATTAAGTGCCACTGAGTCAGTTGCGACACATAGCGAGCCTGTATAAGATTGCTAAGGAGCACGGGTCAGTTTGAAGCGCTGACCGTGCGGTCAACAGTCCAGTTTATCCTAGAGTGCCACTGTATCGACAGCATTGTACTGCAAGATACATCTTGAAAGGCTCTTTTCTACAGTAAATGTGGTGCCATTCTTCTTGAATTGGTCGTTTCCGGCATAGTAAACCATGTGATTGTCTGATTCAAAATGGACAATACCAATTATACGTTCCATTTCATTTTTGACAACTTGTAATTTTCCTAGATTCATCTTTCAGACCTTCCACATTCTGATTACTAATGGATATTTACAGGTGTTTGTTCTCATTTTAGGTTGTATCCCATCAGCAGATGAAAGTCCTCAAGGCTTTGCTCCATCCATATCATTCAGGCCAACTCTGCCTTGAGGAAGCAGCTCTTCCCCAGGACTTGCAAACAATATGTGGCAGCAACCCTGTCTGCTCCTCAGTTGGGTCTGATAATCCACTGCAGTAGCCACATGGACCGCAGACACCATCCTCACAGTGATGGGGTTTATTAGAGAACTTACCAGGTTGTATACAGGATCAGAAAATGCTCAGGGCACAGATGTTGGAGTCAGCTGCTGACAAATGCCCACAGCACACACCATTCCACCATGAGCCTCAGCCTGAAGGCCCTCGGCTCTAGCTCCGTGGGTCAGAAAAACCTGCTCCCCCACTTCAGTGCCGGGAGGCACCCCACTCTGCAAGTAAGCTTCCTGCCCCAAATCACTCGCTCTGTGGACTCAAAAGTCCACTGCTCTGTCTTGTGTTCTGGTTCTTGGCTCTGCTGCTGACGCTCCTCTACCACTCCTCCAGGGTCACAGCTTTCGGCGCCTGGGTTAAGGAGGACATTCAATGTGCATCGATCTCAGGGTTGGAAGGACCGGCTCCCCTCCTGGCTCTTCTTTGATGGTAGTGAGATGTTCCCTACTTCTTCTGAGATGGCTCATTTTACACCCAGGCTAGAGTTTCAAGTTTTTACAATTGCACTGAACTCTGCTAACACGATCCACAGCTGAATCATGCCATGCCATCCGTATCTTGTCCCACCTCCTCTTACCCAGACCCAGCAGGGCAGAAACGTTGTTTGGTGAGAGTTACAGACTAAGGCTAGAAGAGCCAATGAATCATTCACTACACCACTGTAGTATTTTGAGTGGGCTCATCTTCTGGCACTACACCAGACAATGTTTCACTGCTTTTAATATGGTTTCCAGTGTTGCCTTTTTCTCATTCCTCCTAGTGTCTCTTAGTCTGGAAGCTCCATCGAACTCTGTCCACTATGGGTGATCCTGCTGGCATTGCAAATATGGGTGGCATCGCTTCCAGAATCAGGGAAACACACAGGTGACCACAGTACGACACACTGACAGAGGAGTGGTGAATTCAAACAAGAGTTAATTGTTGCTAAGCGCCCTAGAGCCAGTTCTGACACATACTGACCCAGTAAAGGGTTTCCAAAGAGTGGCTGGTGGGTTTGAACCACCAACCTTGTGGTAAGCAATCCACCAGAGCTTATCCTACAGCGCCACCCCAGAACTCCCCAGCATTAATAGCAAAGTTCAAGAAACACATGTTGCCTAGGGTGTAGAGAGACTAGAAGACTCAGACCCTGGCAGGGAGACTGAAAAACAGTGTAAGTAAACACTGAAACAATGGCACTGCATTACAATGTTGGAACTAGAAATCTCATATGACCCAGTAGTTCCAGTACTAGTTCTATATTCTAGGGAATAAAGAACCATAACTCAGTTATATGCACACCCATGTTCATCACAACTGACAGTACGAGATGAACTCTCACCATCCTCCCCTTCCAAGGAGGATTCTGGTGCACTTCTTCCAAAACAGATTTGTTCACTCTTGTGGTCGTCATTAGTACTGCTGGGATTCCTCCCCAACACCATAACTCAAATGCATCGCTTCTTCAATGGGTTTCCTTGCTCACTGTCTAACTTTCACATGCACCTGGGCTGACTGACATGTCAGGGCTTAGGTCAGGGGCACCGTAGTGTTCAAAGTGAAATCTTTGCTCTTGAATACTTTAGAGAGATCTTTTGCTGCAGTTTTGCCTAATGCATCGTATCTTTTAATTTCCTGACTGCTGCTTCCATGAGCCTTGATTGTAGATCCAAGCAAAATGAAATCTCTTAACAACTTCAACTTTTTCTCCCTTTATCAGGATATTATTGAGTGGACCAGTTGTGAAGACTTCTGTGTTCTTCATTTTAAGGTGCAATCCATTCTGAAAGCTGTAGTCTTTGATCTTCATCAATAAGTACTTCAAGTCCTCTTCACTTCTACCAAGCAAGGTTGTAGCATCTGCATATCATATGTATTTATAGGTGCTGCAAATATATCCAGCGATGTAATAGAACATTGTTGTTTCTAAGTGCCATCAAGTAGGCTCTGACTCATAGTGACCCTGCATAGGGTTACCAAGGAGCAGCTGGTGAGTGTGAACCCCCGAACTTTGCAGTTCCAACCAACCTTATGGTCCAATGCTTATCCACACCAGGATTCCATAACAGAACATACTGGGTACAAAGTTATGGAAACTTCTTAGCCATACCAAACGCCTTGAGGGAATGAGTTACTGGGCCTCAGGAGACATCCAAGTCCATTGGCATAACTGAGTCCCCAAAGATAGTACTCTGCCTCCTACTTTGGTGAGTACTGCCTGTCGTCTTAAAAGCTCAAGAGGGGCTACCTTGAGGTGTAACTATTGGTTTCTCCCTGTTTCAGAGCAAAGAAGATTGAAGAAAATCACAGACACATGGAAACAATTAGTCACAAAGACCACATAAACCCCAGCCTCCATGACCTTGTGATAAGAAGATCCAGATGCTACCTAGCTACTAGTGCTGACCATTCTCAAAGGGACCCCATAGGAGGGCCTGAATCAAGTGGGAGAAAAACGTGGAGCAAAACTCAAAATCATAAAAAGCACGAGACTTACAAGTCTGATAGAGGCTGTTGGAACCCCCGAGACTAGGACCCTTAGATGCGCTTTAGGCCTGTAACTGAACCAACCCCTGAGCCAAACAACAGACAGGCCTGTAAGGGAACCAGCAACACCAGAGAGGTACGTACTTCTTAGAACCATCACCTGCACAAGCTCCACAGGGCAGTGTTTTCCTGGGATAAAGCCCAGGAGGCAGGAAGGGACAGGAAAGCATAGAACAGAAGGATGGCTGGAAACGGGAAACATAGGGAGGAAGTGGGAAGATGTTGCCGCATTGGAGGGGGGGGAGCTGCAATCAGTGTCACCAAACCAAATACGCAGGAATAGCTAAATAGAAAACCAGTTTGCTCTGTAAACTTTCACCCAAATCACAATAAAAAGTTATAAAAAAAATGAGTCACAGATTAGTGTAAGGTTGTACATTTTTAAAATTAGATGACAATGGAAAAAAGCATTTACTCTGAACCTTGGGATCAAACTTTCCTACGTATGGTACAGACAGAAACTGCAGCGGTTACACACGCCCACAAGGATCCATTTTCTTTCAGGAAGGTTAAAAGACGTCAGAACCCACTATGTACTCTCTCTCACATTCACACACAACACACACACACACAGATACACCAGAATTACATTTTTGAAACAGACTGAGTTTAGGTGAACTTCAGCGATTTTCAATTGGTTAAAAGGCAAGAAAACATTGCATAGCTATAGTGTGGAGACGTTTGGGATATGTTGTCAAAATACATGGAGCACAATTTTCATATGATCAGCTCTGATTTAAAACCCATGTGGAGAGTTTGATTCCTGCATGGTTGGAGGCAACAACAAAGGCCTGGAAGATGTACGTGAGCTGCCTGCTATGGATACAGACAATAGACATGGATATACTTATAAACCTAAACAGCCGAGGAATGTCACTGAAGTGCTGCTCACTGGCTGACAGAGGTGGAGAATGCTTACCACGTTGTATAAGCTGATGCACCAACTATCAAATAGAATCTGCCCAGAAAATCCATTAACAAAGGCGAACCACAGCTGAAAGAGAAGAAGGCTTGTATCAGTGCTTACCTGAACATGTCCAAACACGAAGACAGAGACACAGAAGATAAAAACGTCAGCTGCCAGAGGATAATTATTGAGTTGTTACTGCCAAGTGCCGTCGGAGCGGTTCCAACTCACAGCGATACTGGATAGGGTTTCCCAGGAGCAGCGGGTGAGTTTGAACTACTGACCTTGAGGTTCAAACTGACCTTGTGGTCCAGTGCTTATCCTATAGCCACAGACATATAATTGTTCTTTCATAAGTTATAAACTTCAAATGCTACATGTTGCTGACAGTTTCTAAAATTTATATCTAAAGGCAAAGGACTTAGAGTAATTAAGACAAGTTTGAAAATAAAAAATAAATTAGGAGGACTTACTCAACTCGTAGCTAAGACTTAGTTGTTGTTGTTAAGTGCTGTGACATTGGGTCTGACTCATAGCGACCCTGTATAGGGTTTAAATAATCAAGAGTGTCCGGTTCCTTCGAGAATCTCTATCAAGATGACCCCTTGGAAATCCCAAAAAACATCCCTCTGAGATAACCTCTCTGAATTTAATTGACTCAGCAGATAGACTCAGAAGCTACTGTTTTGATCAGCCCTTTTGTTTTGAAAGGACCCTAATGAAACCAAGACAAGGGCATGACTGAGAAAACCTGCCTGCTATTATCTGTGGATTGCAAAGACACCTCTAAGCATGTTTTGTTTGGAATAAAACTCGTGCATGTATAACTGAAACTTAAGTAGCAAAACTTTTCTGCTTACACTCAGATTTTCTGGTGTGGAAAAAATGCAGTTTAATGTTTGTTGGTTTCAAGTCTCCTTAACCACCAATGCTATATAGAGCAAGAAAATATAAAAGAAAAGAGAGTGTGCTGAAAAACTAGGGCCCTTTAGTGGAACTGGAATCCCTTGGTGGGATTGTTGAAAGGGACAACACAATCTCACGATGAAGTCTTCCCATTTCGATAGGAATACAGCTAACAGTTCTGAAAAGCAAAGATGTCCCTCTGCCGACTAAGGTGTGTCAGTCCCAACTGGAGTCTTCTCAATGGCCTCATATGCATGCAAAGCTGGACACAGGAAAAAGAGGTCCGAGGAACCGATGCGTTTGAATGCCGGTGTCAGCTAACACTGTTGAGCACCATGAACTCCAAAAGAAAGAGCAAATGAGTCTTAAAAGAAATAAAACTCAAGTGGTCTTTAGAAGCCAGGAGAGTGGAATTTTGTCTGCTGACTTTGGACACATCATAAGGCTTGTTGTTGTTGTGAAGTGCCGTCGAATTGATTCCGACGGGTTTCCAAGGAGACGCTGGTGAGCTTGAACCACCGACCTTGCAGTTCAAACAACTTTGCAGTCTGACACATTAGGCCACAGCGCCACACCAGGACTCCATAAGGCTCAACCACTAGAATCTGTCAGTCGTTAGAAAAGGGCAGCATGTTTGGTCCAGTAGAGGACCATCCTCCATGAGATGGAGATGAAGTGACCTAGAGCTGTAACAACGGCTCAAACAGACCTATGAGCATGAAGAGAGAACAGGATTCGGCAATGCTTGGCTCTATTGTACATAAGGTCCCCATGAGGCAGAGATTAATTGACAAAAAGCAACAGCAAAAACATTTCATAGATATTTCTGAGATGTTTGAGCACTGAAAGCTTATTGTACAACAGAGTACATAAACATGCCAACAACAGTCAAGAAATCAATGCACAAGAATGCCCATACTTGCAGACAGCAACCATTTGACCTGGCTTCAATGGCTGGATGATCAGAACTCGACTAGAGGAAGTAAGAAGAGGATAAAAAGAGTAATCCACTACAATTTGATGACCTTGACCTATGCTTGTGGATGTAGTAGCTCAAAAGAGGGAACGAATCTTTACAGCGAGAATCATTCCCACTCCCTCAGTACACAGGGTTGACAGGGATGGGCAACTTAGACACTGGCTACCCAAAATGGGGAGGAGGCTGCAAAGGCAAGAAGTGACTTACCAGCTTTCAAGAGGGAGCCTAGATCCAGAGGGGGCGGGAGAAGGTAGAATCTCCACTGAGTGGTTTGCAGTCTTTCTAGATGGGACTGATGAAAGGAGATGGGGAGAAGACTCATGTGGTACAGTAGTGAATAATTGCTATCAGGACTGACTGTGAGGGTTGGAAATGCAAAAGCAGACATTTTGTAACAAAAAGAAGGGAGTGGTTGACTTTGCAGTCCAGGTATGGAGGTCCCTGGGACCATCAAGGGAGAAGAGCGGAGTGCGGGACCCTATCCAGAGATGCAGTGATGTCAGAGATGGAGGCAGAGACGATGACGTGGCAAGATGGAGCACTAGGGACTCTGGACTCATGGAGAGATAGGGGCTGTGTGCTGACGACCGAGGGGCAGGCTTGCAGGATGTGCCCTTTGGTTGTTTGATGATGCATGGAGGGGATTGTAATCATGGCATTGAAATGAAATACGATAGGATGAATGTAAAGCTAATATTCTCCCATGTAAACTATCACTTAATTCACAATAAGAACCTTAAAAAAAAAAAGAAGTCAAACAATGTATAGCATTAAGCAAATCTGCTGCACAAGACCTCTTCAAAGTTTTCAGGAGCAAAGACATCACTTTGAGGACTAAGGTACACCTGTCCCAAGCCATGGCATTTTCAATGGTCTTATATGCATGCAGAAGCTGGACTACAGATAAGGAAGACCACAGAAGAACTGATGCATATGAGTTATGATGTTGGAACTTTGGACATGTTGTCAGGAGAAGGACACCCTGTTTGGCAAAGTGGAGAGTCAATGAAAAAGAAGAAGATCCCCAACAAGATGGATCGACACAGTGGCAGTGATAATGCACTTGAACAGAACAACGCTTGTAAGGATGGATCAGAACAAGACAGAGTTTCGTTCTGTTGTACAAAGAGTCACCAAGAGTCAGAACCAACTCAATGGCACCTAACAACAATAACTACATATCAATATGTCACCATGATGTCATGCATTTTTATACGAGCAAAAAACTAAAGCAGGAATATGTAAGAGATTCATATGAAAAGCTTTTAGATTCCCAGGTCTGATGCCAAAGAGAAATCTAACTACTCAGTGAAAGAAAGCTGATTTCCTTTCTTACCTGTATGATGTAGAGCACCACGTTCTTGTAGAAACAGTACAATATGCATTTGGTCACTCGGATATAATTCCAAGATCCATGAACCAACAGCAGTTTCTCCAAGTAACTAAACTAAAAGAGAGAAACTGCAATCAATTCAACTTCAAACTAACCTACCTTTTAGCGATAAACCACAAAATGACATTTTCACAATACTGCAAACCTCAGCGCATTCCTATGTATGGACTACAACACAGAAAGCACATAGAACTAACCAATTTTGTGGACAACGGACATGTAAAAACACAACAAAACACACACCAAGCATCGCTTTTATGCTCAACTAAATAGTGCTTGAGTTCTTTAGTTGTCATGTGCAAGACTTTTATTTCAGTCTGAAACACGTTTAGGACGTTAGTCATGAGAAAGGGCCAGATTACTTATGAAAGGGTCCGATTATATACAAAAAGAACATTGTATCAGAAATGAGAGACCCAAGAACACGTATGTAATTTTCTGGAGGTGAAGTAACTAAGTATTAGAGTGATCAGTTTCCTACCTGCTACAATAAATAAATAAATACGTTGCTGTTTTGTTGTTAAGTGCTGTTGAGTCAGTTCTGATTCACAGCAACCTTGCCTAGGGGTTCCCAAGGAGCGGCTGGTGGGTTTGAACCACCGACCTCGTGGTTAGCAGCCCAGTGTTGTTGATACTACAGCACCACGCCAGAACTCAAATACATAATGTTGTTGTTCATTGCCATGGAGTTGATTCCAACTCATAGAGACCCTGTTTTTTCCAAGGAGCAGCTGGTGGGTTTGAAGTGCTAACCTTCAGTTAGCAGTCCAGTGCTTATCTTACGGTGCCACATCAGGTCTCAAATATATAAATATATACATATAAATAACACGTATCACTTCCTAACACAAGAGAGACTTAATATTATTACTCTAATTATTGGTTTGGAGTCCTGGTGTGGCGCTGTGGGTTAATGTGCCAGACTGCAAAGCCGTTTGAACTGCAATGTCGGTGGTTCAAGCTCACCAGCAGCTCCTCAGAAACCCTATACAGGGTTGCTATGGGTAGGAACCGACTCTATGGTACTTAGCAACAACAATTATTGGTTTGGGTTTTGCATCCCCTCCATGGGGGCAAAAGTCTCTGGTTGGCATCAATAGTAAAATGTTCCACTGTTACCAAAAGACCGGGGGCCTGAGTCCACCCAGAAGGAAATTCAGCAATCTACTTCGGAGCCATAGTCACTACAAACCGTGTGGAACACAGCTCTACTCGGACGTGCCTGGGGCTACCATGAGCCAGACTTGATCCAACGACCACAGGTTTTCTTTCAGTGACAAGTGAGATGGCAAATCTAACCAACATCCGCAGTCTGCGGGACTGTGAGCTTCTCTGTCTCCATTTTCCAATCCTCAACAAAGAAACGGCTATATATTCCTGGGAGCTTCTTTGAACAAGATGGTGGTCATTTTGCATGAGGAAGATGGAAAGCAAGAACTGTTTAGTGACTGTTCTTTTGCTTGGGAGGTACCACTTTATGAAGGAATAAAAGATAGCATTGTTCTGGTAAGCAACTTGCTTGGCTCCTCACTGCAAGGTCACGAAGGCCAAAGACGGCAGCTGTTTCAGCGTGAGCTCACAGCAGCCATGCCACCAAGTCACACACATGAGGACAAACCCACTGCCCTGAAGTCAGTTCCCACTCATAGTGACCCTACAGGACCAGGCAGAACTGCTCCTTAGGGTTTCTGAGGCTATAAATCTTTACGGCGACACACAGCCTCAACTTCCTCTCTCGGAGAGCCTGGTGGAGTTGAAATACCGACTTGTGGTTAGCGGCCCAATGCCTAATCAAAAGTACCATGAACGTGCAGGATTGGAAATCTCTCATGGCAGCCACACTAGGTAGTTATCACAGTCACAGCTGAGAGAAGCCAGTCTCCTTAAAAAACAAAACTGGGGAGCCTGTAGGTCTTGAAAACTTGTTCATCAAGAGAAACCACAGAGCAAAGCAGTTACAGAGATTTGGCAAGACTGGGGATTTACAGGTTATAATTCTCAGGGCTAGGAATTCTTGGAGTCCTGGTGTGGCACTACAGGGTAAGTACTGGACTTCTAACTGCAAGGTTGGCAGTTCAAACCCATCAGTCACTCCTCAGAAACCCTATACAGGTCGCTATGAGAGGGAACCAACTTAGTGGCACTTATACACATTGATTCTCAGTTTGGCCAAACATATCTTTATTCCTCCAGAATGTAAGAGAAGACAGGAAGGAGCATCAACTGTGCTGACAGGCTCAAACAGAACCTCAAGGTGGGCTGGAGGGCTCATGAACTCCTGCCTGCCCAATGTACACCAGCTCTGACCTGTGCGATGGCGTAGTCCGAGTTGTTGGTGGCCTGCAGGCCCTCGTTCCCAGTGATACCCACGCCCACATGGGCAGTCTGGATCATCCCCACATCGTTGGCCCCATCGCCCACGGCAAGAGTAATTGCCTTCACGTGACTCTTGACCAGGTGCACGATTTCAGCCTTCTGGAGGGGAGATAACCTAAAAAAGAAACACAGAAGCAATGACCTTTTCTTGTGTTTTACTTCACATTGCTCTAAAGACCTTAGCTCACTCACGCTGTTGTAATCTTACACCGAATGTACCACTTTTTGTTGGTTTGCTTTAGCTCGTGTTGTTCTATACAGAAATAACCACCTTTTTAGTTTTGTATTACTTCACGTTGTTCCAAAGGTTTTGCTTCACATTGTTCTAGAGTCTTTACAAAGAAATAAGCCCTTTCCTTGTTTTGTTTTACCTCACATTCTTCTGAAGTCTTTGCCTCAAACTGTTCTAAAGTTTTTGCATAGAAACAACCACTTATTCTTTGCTGGTTACTGTGTGTGGGGTGCAGTGAGAGGAGGGAAGGGAAGGTGGAGCACAGAAACAGGGTAGAGAATAGACACAGAATAGTTTGGGTGCTAGGGAGGGGGGCAATACACGAGAAGGGAGAACAAAGCAGATGAGAAAACAATTAGGCAGGTTTGCATGGGCTAAGTGGGACAGAGGTAAAGAATGATGTATATACAACCTTGGAACAACAGGGCTCTGGAATACAGGGATTGAGGCATGGTTGGAATGGGCAAAATAGAGGAAACAATGTTAAGATGGTTGGCTGTCTTTTGAATCGTGGTTTCCCTGGCATATTGTTATAAAATAGACACTTGATGGGGAGAGAAAGGAATATCCAGAAATATCACCAGAGAAAGCTTGTAAGTCTGCTTTCAGCCTAAAACTGATTGGAATACCTAAAATGAGCTACAACGTGCCCAGTGAAGGAGGCTTCCTGTGGAGCCTCTGCATTACATAAGACCATAGGTGGAATCCTGAACCCCATCCAGAATCTTCTGAGGTGGGAAATTTCCACCTGAAAGGACAAGGAGGCCAGCCTGAAGCAGCTAGGAGAACAGAAGATACTTCTTAAAAGAAAGACCGACAGGAAAAATACAAAACAATAACGGCAGACCAAATGATTACTACAAGAACAAGCAAGGTACTCACTCAGGAGACATCAAGGCACGTGGTCAGGTCCCCTCAGGGCAAACCCTCTTCCAAGACTAAGACTCAATGGCCATACACGAGCAGACATGCACTCTGACTGGTGACCACGTTGGTCACCAATGAGGGGAAGTGTGGGAAAAACAGCAATGAAGCTGCAAGCTAAGCCCTACCACATTCAATAGAATCCTGTAAACCCGGGTGGAGACCTGGTTGGCCAGCAGTATGGCAAGACCTGGGGACTCCTAGGCCCAGTAGTAAGTGACAAAGCCACAGAGGACTAGAGTGGAGAGTGAAGCTTCTAGCTGATAAGAAGAGAGGGCATATGCATAAGAACACCCACGCTTGCAGATAATACCCACTTGACCTGGCTTCAATGGCTAGATGATCACAACTCAACTAGAAGAAGAAAGAAGAGGGAAAAAAAAAGAGTAACCTGATACAATTAGATGAACTTGACCTACACCTATGGATACAGTAGCTCAAAAGAGGGAACAAATCTTTACAGCGAGGATCATTCCCACCCCTTCCATACACAGAGTAGACAGGGATGGGCAACTTGACACTGGTTAATTTAAATGGTCGGGGGGAGGGGGGAGGAGTGGCTACAAAGACCAGAAGTGACTAGCTTACACGCTTTCAAGAGGGAGACTAGATCCAGAGGGTACGGAGGAAGGTAGAATCTCCACTGAGTAGTATCCAATCTGTCTTGGAGAGGCTAGTGAAAGGAGATGGGGATAGCACTCTCGTGGTATAATAGTGAATAATTGCTATCGGGACTGATTGTGAGGGTTGGAAATGTAAAGGTAGATGTTTTGTAACAAAAGGAGGGGAGTGGTTGACTTTGCAGTCCAGGAGCGGAGGTCCCTGGGACCATCCAGGGAGAACAGCAAAGTGAGGGGACCCTACCCAGAGAAGTAGTGATGCCAGAGATGGAGGCAGAGATGATGATGTGGAGAGATGGAGCAGCTGGGGACTTTAGACCCAGAGAGGGAGAGGGACTGTGTGCTGACGACCAAGGGGGCAGGCTTGCAGGATATACCCTTTGGTTGGTTGATGATGCATGGAGGGAACTGTAAACATGGCAATGAATCAATATACTATAGGATGAATGTAAAGCTAATGTTCTCCCATGTAAACTATCACATAATTCTCAATAAAACATTAAAAAAAAAAAAGAAGGAACACTCCCTGGATCGCACCACAGAAGAAAGAATAATAAAGGAGAATTGTGGGAAACTTTGGGATGACATACTGGAGAAAGAGATACAATGGACATATTTCTTGAAAGATGCAGTAACAAAACTGACCCAAGAAGTAGAAAATATCTGCTTAATAAACTAATCAGTAATCAAAATAATTCAGGTGTGCCTGACCCAAGCCATGGTATTTTCAATAACCTCATATTCATGCAAAAGTTGGACAATGAATAAGGAAGATCGTAGAAGAATTGATGCATTCGAGTTATAGTGTTGGAGGAGAATATTAAAAGTACTATGAACTGCCAAAAGAACAAATTTGTGTTGGAAAAAGTACAGTCAGAGTGTTCCTTAGGAGCCAGGATGGCCAGACTTCGTCTCTCATACTTTGGACATATTGTTAGGAGGGACTAGTCCCTGGAGAAGGACATCATGCTTGGTAAAGTGGAGGGTCAGGGGTAAAGAGGAAGACCCCCAACAACATGGGTTGGCACAATGGCAGCAGCAATGGGCTCGAGCGTAGCAACGATTGTGAGGTTGGTGCAGGACCGGGCGGTGTTTCATTCGGTTGTATGTAGGGTTGTTATGAGTCAGTACTGACTCGACGGCACCTAACAATAACAACAACAGCATTAATCAAAAGCCTCCCCACAAAGAAAATATCAGGCCCACATGGCTTCAGCAGTGAATTCTGTCAGACATTTCAGTAAGAAATACCAACCATGCAGACACTGGTGTGTTTTTAAATACAGGATAGAAGAATATTTCTCTAACCTCTTTGAACGGTCCTGATACCAAAGCCTGTCAACTACATTGAAAGAAATGTAACCGGACAAATCTCTTTAATAAAATATTAGTAGAACGTATAGAAAAATAATCAAATTAAATCATAAAATGTTAGAGCCACGAAGAAATTTAGAAACATAGCCGGCTCTCCTTCCCTGCCACCATGCACTCTTTTAAGTTAAAGATCTCAGTCAATTGTACACTGAATTATTTTCATCCCTTCTGAAGATACCTGGTAATGGATTTCAATTTTCTTTTCATTTATTTTTACTGTTCACTTAATAGGGACATTTACGCTTACAGAATAAGCCAAGAATATAAAGTACTGACTTCCCAACAGCTAGACATACAGGGTCGCTATGGGTTGAAACTAACTCTATGGCACTTAACAACAACAGATAAATAAATGTTCAGTGATGAAGTGCTCAGCTGCTAACTGAGAGGCTAGTGAAGAGAACCTATCCAATAACTCCTTGTGGAGACCTGAGGTGGCACCGCAGGACAAGCACTGGGCTGCTAGTCACAAGACTGCTGGGTGAAACCCACCACCCATTCCTCAGAAACCCTTTACAGAGTTGCTCTGAGTCAGAACTGACTGGACAGCACTTTATAACAACTACTCTTCAGGAGAAATACCTGCTTCCCTAAAGAACACAGCAGAGGTTACCCTATGCGGGCACTTCTACCCTGTCACACGGGGTTCCTCTGAATCAGAATCAATTCAACAGCATCCAACAGCCCCAGATAATGTAGAGTCACATCATGGTTGCCCACCACCCATGTTGGTGGTCAGCTGGTCATATAAAGGTGGCTTGCGTGTCGCTGTAATGCTAGCAGCTGTGCCACGAGTATTTCAAATACCAGTAGGTTTCAGTGGAGCTTCCAGGCTAAGACAGAGCAAGGAGAAGGACTTAATGCCCTACTTCTGAAATCCTGGCCAGTGAAAACCTTATAAATAACAGGAAAATGTTGTTTGATTCATAATTCAAATGTTTTAGCAGATAGTTTCTACTTCTTGGGTCAGTTTTGCTAATGTGTCACTCACAAAATCTGTCCATTATGTCTAGTTCTCCAATGTGCCATCGACGTTGTACAGTCCAGTGCTGGAAGATGAGCTCCTCAGGTGGGAAAGCTCTAACACCCATAATGCCATTCTCCTTTGGTACCAACTATTTTATTTTATTTTTATAAAAGCCTCTTACTATAAACTGAGGTTCTTGGTTCTTACTGAAGACTTCTTTCACCTTATCATATATCAGTAAGCAAACCTATCATTAAAACTGATGAACTGCCTTCTAGCAAATCCTGAAAATTCAAGTCTTTTAATTTCTGCTCGATCATATATTTCCTCAGTAAAGAACTTTTACTTCTACTAAAAGTTATGTTCCACAAGGGGACTTCAAAAAAATTCTTGGGAAAAATCATATTATCTTTCAATTCCATTTTTCCACTAAATTGTTGAAGCCCCCTCAGAATCACATCTATATTTTCTTTACCATAACAGCACTAAGTATATTGAGAAACATGAAAAAAGATGAGTATGTTCTTACCTGCAGCATAATACTGCTCTACACGAGAGGGCCAGATTTAGGAAATTCTTCTTAATTTCAAATCTGAAGGCATATTTCAGTGTTTCTCCATCGATGATTAGGACCAGGTCATTTTCTTGGCCTAACAAGTCTCCAAGATCTTCACAGTTCTGATTAATTGCTTCTTCTGTTGCCTAAAAGAAAGGAAGGGGACCTATTCATTTTCCTCATTTCTAATAGAAAGAAAATAGCCTCAGAATCAAGCATTGGGTGAGGTAGGGGGAGTGCACTCAATGGCATGAAAAGAGTGTGTGTGAAAGTGTGTAGGAATTGCTTAATGGAAAATGGATTTTCTCTGTGAGTCTTCACCCAATTCACAATTAGGAAAAAGATATTATGTTGAGTGAAAGAAGCCAAATATTGTGATTAAATTGATATGAAATGTCCATATTTAGCAAATCTATAGAGAAAGACTAGGAGTGCTGATGGTGCTGTAGGGTAAGCATTGGACTGCTAACCACAAGGCCAACAGTTCAAGTCCATCAGCTACTCCTTGGTAGAAAGATGAGGCTTTCTTTTCTCATAAAGATTTGCAGCCTCAGAAACCCTGCACAGGGTCACTATTAGTTGGAACAAACTCAACAGCACTTAACAACAAAAACGTAGAAACAAATCACCACTAGTCTGTCAGTTCATTGTGCTGCGGTGGCTTGTTTGTGGCTGTGGCATTGGTAGCTATCCTAGCAGGGTCACTCATGGTGAACACATTTCAATGGAACATCCAGACTATGACAGACTAAGAAGAAAGAGAGATAGACTGCTTCGGAAAGGTTAGTCAATGAAAACCTTATGAATAAATAGCAGTGGAACACTGTCTGATATAATTCTGGAAGCTGAGACTCTCAAGTTGGCAAGCATTCAAAATACTACTGGGAAGGAGGACAAACAAGATGGTGGATTGGGTCGAAGTGCAGTGAGGAGCTCCAACAGCAACAGCATAAAATACCAGACCAAGCAGACTCAGGGGATGGTGCCAGAATTCTGAACCCCATATAAAGGAATATTTAGATGGTTGGAAAGCTCACAGCTGGGGGAATTTGTAGCAGAAGCAAGAAGTCAAGTAGTTTCTAATCCAAAAGGCTCAGCTGCTCCCGGACAGTCATATGGTTTACTATGCTGAGAATAACAAATTGAAGAGAAATGGTATTGAATTCATAATCAAAAAGAGCACTTCAAGATCTAACTTGAATCACAATGCTGTCTCCTTGAGACTTGCTTTGTGACCTAAAACATGGTCTATCCTGGTGAATGATCCAGGTACACTGGACATGAATGTATATTGTGTATTGTTGAATGAAATGGTCTATATATGTTTTTTAGGTCTAGTCTGTTTATTGGTGCTATTAAGTGCCACTGAGTTGGTTCCAACTCATAGCAACCCTGTTTAGGGTTTCTGAGGAGCAGCTGGTGGGTTTGACCTGCAGACCTTGCAGTCAGCAGTCAAATATTTACCCAGTTTATTGCATTGTTCAATTCCTCTGTTTCCTTAGCAATCTTTCCAGAAGCTCTGTTCATTATTTAAAATTGTATACAGGAAGTCCCCGACTCACAACATATTTCATTCATGAAGAGCTGCATTTATGACTGCCCCCTCCCTTTTTTGGTACATTGATTGTTAGTAATATGTACTACAGACAATGTTGCAGCATGAAATTTGCTGATGCTATCATTCACATGCGAATCTCAAAGACACTAGGGATCAGATTTATAAAGATACTGATAACAAAAGGCAATAATAATGAAAAATTAAAGAAAGAGGTGTTCAACTAATGTCAGAACCGATTTAAGACAGACTCGTCAGAATGGAACCCCATAATAAATCAGGGACTATTTGTACTAAAGGGAGAAAGATGAGGCTTTCTACTCCCGTAAAGATTTACACCCTCGGAAACCCTGCACAGGGTCGCTATGGGTCGGACCCGACTCGATGGCACTTAACAACAACAACAACATTTGTACTAAAATTTCAAAATTTTGTTGCAACCCAGTACCATTAAGTCAATTTCAACTATGTTGTTGTTGTTGTTAAATGCCATCTAATAGGTTCTGACTCGTAGTGACCCTCTATAAGGTTTCTGAGGGACAGCTGGTGAGCTTGAACCACCGATCTTGAAGTTCAAACCAACTTTGCAGTCCAGTGCATTAACCCACAGCGCCATACCAGGACTCCAATTCCAACTATAGTGACCCTATATGGCACCATAGAAGTCTCTCATACAAATGTTTACCTATTCTATTTGATCTTATACTAAAACACCATCCCAACTCTCTTTTGCCTACAGTTTGCATGGGATATTTTTCCCATCCGTTCATTTCTGACCATTTGTGTCTTTGGGCCTCAGATGTGTCTCTAATAGAATGCAGAGCATTGATTCATGTTTTTTAATCTCTTCCGCCACTCTCTGTTTTAGAATGGTGTGTATAACCCATTCATATTTTTGATATTTAGCACTTAGGAAGGTCTTACTTCTACCATTTTGTTAGTTTTGTGCATGTGTTCTATACCTTCATTGCCCCTTATGTCCTCCAATATAGCCAATTTTGTGTTCTGTTGAGATTTTGTAATAAACCATCTAGAGTCTCTTCTTTTGTTTTGTCTGTAATGACCATAAGAATTACATTTAACATCTTACATTGATAACAATCTGGTTTGCGAGTCTATCAATTCAACTTCAGTAGCATATAAAACTTCTGTTGCCACACTGTTCCCTCCCCGCTCAGCGTTACTGTTGTAATCACCTACTACCTCCTTTGTAACATGCACAAACTTTTTAATGTATTTTAATGTATTTGCCATTATAAAGTGTGAAAACCATAACAACTAAAATTACTAACCAAAAAGACCTTAAAGCTGGTCCTTATACTTGCCCCTGAAATTCCCATTAAAGGAAACTTTTTTCTTCTGTGTACTGATGGGAATTATTGTCAAGCGTTCTTTCCTTTCCATCTGAAGGTCACCTTTTATCATTTCTTGTAGGGCAGGATTATTGTTGTTAAGTGCCATCGAGTGAGTTCTGACTCATAGTGACCCTGTATTGGGTTTCCAAGGCGACGCTGGTGAGCTTGAACCACCAACCTTCAGTTCAAACCACCTTGCAATCCAATACGTTAACCCACAGCACCACACCAGGACTCCAGGGCAGGTCTAGTAGAAACAAATTCCCTCAGCTGTTCTTTATCTTATTTTTGCTTTCATTCTTTTTTTCCTTTTCCTGGATATGCCATGCTTGGTTGAAAGCAGTTTTTCTCAACACTTTTAAAATGGTATTGTACTGTCTTCTGGCCTTCGAGGTTTCTGAGGGGAAACGGGCACTTAATATTATCGTAGTTTTTTTGTATGTGACAATGTGCGTCTCTTTTATTGTTTTCAAGATATTCTTTATATTTAGTTTTTGAGAGCTTGAGTAAAATGTGTCTTGGTGTAGATCTTTTTGAGTTTATTGTCTTGAATTTTCATATTCATGTTCTTCATCAAGTTTAGGAACTTTCCATCTATTATTCTTCAAAGATTCTTTCTGTTCCATTCTCTTTCTCATCTCCTTCTGGGATTCCCATGATGTATATCTTATTTCTCTTGATGGCCATCCCACATTTTCATTAGGCAGGCTTGCAGTCTTGAACATTCTCCCTCTCTTTTTAAATTGTAGTTTGGGTGAAAGTAGATAAAGCATGTTAGTTTTCATTCAACAATTTATACACATTATGTATCATGACATTGTTTGAAATCCCAAGGTAACAATACTCTTGTCCCTTCTTCCCTGGCTTTCCTGAGTCCATTCATCCTTCTTTCCCTTCCCTTCCTGTCTTCTGACTTTTGCTTTGGGGCAAATATGGCCCTTTTGGTCTTGTGTGGCTGACTGTGATCAGGAGTACATCCTTCCCTGGGCTATTACCCATTTATAGGCCTGTCTGTTGTTTGGCTGAAAGTTATTACCCCAGGAGCAGGAGTTCAGTTCCAGGTTAGTATGGTGACTAGGGGCCACAGTCTCAGGGATTACACTAACTAGTGGATTCTCTCAAACCGGTATGTCTAGTCTTTTTTGTGTTTTTGAATTTTGTTACGTTTTCCTCCCTCTCTGTCCAGGCCTTTCTCCTGGGGTCCTGATGAGAACAGTCAGTAGTAGTAGCCGAGCACTGTCTGCTTCTCTGGGTTGTGGAGGTTCCTTGGGTCCTCTGAACTAAGTGCTTCCTTCAGTCTTTGAGTTTCTTCAATCTTCTTCACTCCAGATGAGAAGGGACCAATGGTTACATCTTAGACGGGCACTCGAAAGCTCCCAGTGACTACACACCAACGTAGGATACAGAACATTGTCTAGGCTATGCCAGCTGCCTCCTTTGTGCCCCAAGACTGTGGTTCTAAGCTCCCAAGCTCAGTGAGTCATCTCCTCAAGGTATTTAGTTGCAGCTGGGAAGCTTTCCGAACGTTGCTCCTGTGTGCTGTGCTCTACACATGGCTATATTTACTTCACATGTAAATACATGTGAACATGTAGACATGTTCTCTGTCAAACCCACAGAGACTCATGGGTATTCTTCCATTGACTTGCCTTCCCACCATTAGTCAGTATGCAAGTCTACCTGTGTATTCACTCATAGATGATGTCTGTTATACTATGACGGCAGGATTATGGGCACAGCAGTATTTGTCTCTCTGTCTCTTACTCTTGTGCAGCTCCCAGCAATTCCCTTTCTCCACTGGTCTTGTTGTGTTGCCTTCCCTGCTTTATGTCTGAGATACTGTCTTTCCCTCCACCTCTGTTACCACATGTCTATTTTCTTGCGCATTCTCTCTTATTGCCCTTCAGACTCCAAAATTTTTATTATCTTATACTCTAGCATGCTGATTCTTTCTTCTGCCAGTTCAAATCAGCTGTTGAAGTCTCCTAATGAATTTTTCATTTCTGTTATTGTATTGTTCAGTTCTAGTATTTGTGTGCTTTCTTTTTATGGTGTCTATTTCTTTAGTTACACTCTTATCTTCTTCATGCATTGTTTTCCTGAGCTCTTTTAACTCTTTGTCCATGTTTTCCTTTAGTTCATTGAGCATAATTAATACAATTGTATTACTGTATTTTATGCAAATAATGCATGCTTCATACAGTTTTTTGAAACTTGTGCAACCCCCTCACGTGTTCGTTTCCCAGGCGTGCTATGCAGATTCTGCTACGACACAGCATACTGTGTCAACCATATTACAAACGATATTACGACGTGTTACGACAGTTCCCCCACTGTCTTAGGCTGGGTTCTCTACAGAAACAAAACCACAGAAGCTTCTATATGTATATATTGTTATTGTTGCTGTTAGTGCTGTCCATTCAGTTCCGACTCATGGTGACCCTGTACAGGGTTTCCAAGGAGCAGCTGGAGGGTTTGAACCATGACCTGTGGCTCACAGTCCAGTGTTGATCCTACAGCGCCACACCAGGAGTCCATATGTATACATAAGAGAGATTGATATCAAGTGAATTGCTCACACAATGGTAGAGGTGGTCAGTCCCCTGGGCGTGGGACACATGTCAGGCTGGAGGTTTCTGATACACGTAGCTACAGGGCTGATGGACCAAGACGGGCAAGTCAGATGGCAGGCAGGCAGGCAGGCAGGTCTGGCAGGTAAGAAGGCAGGCTGCTGACTACTCCCAGAAGTGGCAGGTAACAGAGCAGGCCACTGGCTCAAGTTCAAAGAACAGGAGGTCGGAAGATTAGACAGATGCTAGATATAGACCCAGCAGAGATCAAGCAAGCTTTGCCTGAGTGTGCAATATAGTGGAAGCAGGCCACACCCCGAAGGAAGCAGCCTTTCAGTTGATTAGCTGCTCACAGCAGACCTCATCATAGAGTTGACTACATTCTATTAGAACTCATGTTGGTGGAGAACTACATCTTCAGCCCAACTACTGAAAATCCTGCCCCAGCCAAACGGACAGAAAATCTATCACACCCACAAACACACAAGTTGCCAACTTTTAAGGGCAAAGATACTCAATATTTGATCTCGTATTTTTGTCATTGCTCTATTGTCATCTGTCTACTTACACCTCATTAAAGACTTTTATATGCACAGACAACTTGTTTGGGTTTTATTTTTTGTTTGTTTTCCCCTTCCTTTTTAAAATAAAGGATGAGATTAGGTCCTGTTTTTTGTATGACTCCAGGATGGTGATAAAGGACTAGACTCAAGACAAAGTGTAGCTCAAGAGTTCAGTCAGAGCAGAATACAGCAGGACTAGAGTTGGCCCAGAATGGAACATCGTGGAAACTACAGATTCTTGGGAAGAATCATGGCGGACATCCAGACTTTTAATGGATCTAAAGTGAGAATTCAAGGAAACATCATGTCGAATTTGAGGGATGGGCAATCACAAGTGAAAAGTGGGTTATAATCATCTTACAGAGAATTTCTTTTTTTTTTTAATCGCTTATTTAATGGGAGAAAATGTAGAGCAAAACTCAGAATTATAAAAATAAAGACCAGGATTACTGGTCAGAAAGAAACTGGTGGAACTCGACCCTTCAGGTTTGGGACTGTATTCACCGTCATGGTCTAATTTTCAGCCAAGTGGTAGATGGGCATAGAACAGGAATAACAACATGAGTGAAGTAGGCAGCCCATGGGATGGTCAACCATTCAAGAACAAAAGGACAGCATTTACCTTGAGATACAATTCCGAAGGTTCGGAAAGAAGGTGGAATGGAGGCAAGAGTTAGAGGGAGAAAATGGGATCACTGATGTTCCAGGGAGGGGACTGCAAACACTGAATTGAATCTAACTCTGTGATTCATTGACTGTAAAACTGAAGCCCTGCTCAGCAAGCCTTCACAAGTTTTAAAAAAATCACTTACTTCAAATGAATGTGCATTCAATTTAATGCGAGGCATGCAACTTGCTATCAGTTTGCAGGAATATGCTAGAGGGAGAGAGAGAAATAACAACGTCATATGTTTGAAAACTGAAAACCTCCTATAAGGTTACTAAAAAAATTAAAAAAAAAAAAGCTGTTTATTTCTTTCCTTACAGTCTGACTGGCTCATGACTATTTCAAAATGGCTAAGAGGGTGCATACAGTTAGTGGCTATATCTGTACTTTTAAATATCTGTGGATTTTAAGTTTTATAAGTTCCTTATGACATGAGCTTTATAACAATACCAAGTCTTAGAGAGAGAGCCAAACGCTGTCATATCAAACTTCTATGTAAGCAGGATTATACCTAGTATACTAATACAATCCAAAGTGTTATAAAAAAAAAATAAACTCAAGCATTTCTCATGATAGCAGTAAATATGCTCATGAATTTCTATGCCTCAGGAAAAATTTTTACTGTAAAATTGTCATTCCCATTTTAAAAATTGAGCTGGTAAGTTAGACAGACAGAAAACAGTAGAATTAGCCCAAGTGTGTCCAAAAGCAAACTTACATCCATGATTAGAAGAATGAAATTATTCTGAGCGAGATGAGATTTTGCCTGAAAGTTTAACTGAGACTTTATATAAGCAGTCATTTAAAGCTAAAGGAAGAAGTCTTTATGATATTGAGGAAATAACCAATAACATATAAAAAGTTCAGCAATATGTCACTTTCTTTTCCTCCCAAAGGGGCAAAGCCAAACCCACTGCCATTGAGTCCATTCTGACTCACAGAGATCCTACGGCTCTGCCCCTGAGGGTTTCAGAGACTGCAAATATTTACGGGAGCAGACAGCCTCATCCTTCTCCTACAAAGCAACTGGTGGGTTTGAACCACCAACCTTGCACTTAGCAGCACAGTGCTTAACCACAGCACCACCAAGACTTCCTAAAGGCTCAAAGTTAAAAACTAAAGGATAAATGAAAGGAATGAATGCTGCTGTGCAAACCAGTGTGAAGCCGGGATTTGATTTAAGAGGAAAGCTCTACACTGTTGGGTCGGTCAGCAAAGTTTTTCTTCTTCCTTTGCTTCTCAGAAGAGAAGCTTACACCAGGGAGATAGTGGGTGGTCATGTGT